AATTCCCTTCTTTGGGTTCCTTGTGTGTAGTGTTACCTTTCTTAATAAAAAGTCCCCGACTTGAAAATGTCGGAGGTTGGCTCTTCGGTTGTAGTACATTCCTACTCGTTGCTTCTGGGTGGCCAACCGAACCATGGCGGCGTCCCGCCTCTCGTCCAATAGCTCCAGGCTCGTGATCGTGGCCTCACATTTGACTCTTCGTTAGCATACTAGAACCTGAGGCTCAATTCTCCTACCTCGATAGGTATTAAGGCTTCAACTCTGTAGACCAAAGAAAACAGGGTGGCCCTAGTGCTTGATTTAAAAGTTGTACGGTACGCCCACAGCACTTCGGGAAATATTTCCTTTCATTTTCCTTTCGAGCCGGTCAACCACTTTTTTAGGTTCTGGAGTATAGTTTTGTTCGTTGATTTCGCCTTCCCATCCCCACTACGGTGATAAGGCGTTGATAATATCTTCTTGACCTTGTGATCTTCGAAAACTTACTCACCTTGGTGTCGACGAATTGTTTCACAATGTCGCAAACAATCTTGGTTGGTATCCCAAATCGAAATATTATGTGATCACATATGAAGTCAATAACTTCTTTCTCTCAGACCTTCTCGAACGCCTGGGCCTCGACCCATTTGGAAAAATAATCGGTCATGAATAGTATGAATTGAGTTTTACCGGGTGCCTATGGTAGGGGATCGACGATGTTCATTCCCTACTTCATAAATGGCCATGGAGACAAGACCGACTGGAGAATTTCTCTCGATTAATGGATCATCAGGGCATGTCTTTGGCACTCGTCGCATTTCCGCACAAAGTCTTTCGCATCCTTCTCCATTTCGGTACAGCAGTAGCTGGCTCTGATTAGCTTCTGAATAAAGGATTCTTCCCCCGAATGGTTCCCACAAGTGCCCTCGTGAACTTCTCTCATGGCGTATTCGGTATCTCCCGGTCCCAAGCATCTGGCTAGTAGGCCAAAGAAAGACCTCTTGAACATGCCTGCAAATTCTGATAGACAACCGGATGGACCTTCCCAATAGATAAATCCAGACATCAGCTTGATCGGTAAGCTCCACTCCCCCAGAGTTACTAGGTCTAGACTTTGGATTCCATTTTTTGTATAAATATACAGACTTGATGAGTAGGTCGGGACCCCGTTCTAAACATGAGACAACTTTGTTATCTGTAGAGGCTTGTAGACGAGTCCTGTATATTGTGTATGTCAGTAGTGTGCCCTTGTCATCCCTGTGTATATGTTCTTTTTGGTATTGCTGGTTGTAGATGTGCATGGCGGTCTCATCGGCTTGCACGGTTATGTGTGTTTACCCCAAAATTGGGTAACAATTATATATGCACACGGTTTTAAGAATATATGGTTTAATTCAACATGGTCAATTAAGGATATCAAATAAATGAATTAGAGATGAAATAAACGTTCAAACTAATTGCAATATTGTAGCCAAGACTTAGCTTATACTAACCAATGACCTTGTCCTTGATTGGACCCTCGGCTCAAGCCCAGTCGTGAAAGAAGAACGGAACAAATGAGCAAAAAACTTTAACAAAAGCTAAAAGGCAGAAGATGAACTTGTATTGCTTTGATTCACTTGTTACAGTGTGTCTTACAAAAGAAAAACTTCCTCTTTATATAGTAGGAGAGTTTCATCCTTAGTATAATGTTACACCCCATATTTTCATACGTGAAAGTACGCTATAAATAAATTGATAAAGCTCGAAAATGAGATGTTACATTCCCGCATATATGTATGTTAAATTTTCATCATAAGTTCGGGAATGAGATTATTTTGAGATTATAATCACTTTGTTATTTCAAATAAGTAATGAGCAAATTCGTGAAGGTGAGAGGGTAAGAAAATCGAAGAAAATAATTTTTTGTCAAAGTTTGACATTTTGGGATAAAATACGGCCCGAGCTAAAATATCTGGAATTTATGGACTAGTGTCGTACAAGGTACCTAATGACCATGATAGTAAGGTGTGTAAGGTATGTTAAAAGAGATTGGTACTTTAAGTAATTTGAGATAATTCTTAATTATATGGGTAATTGGTTAAATATTGGATTTTGTGGGGAATTAATAAGTTGATTAAGATATAAGTCTAAAAAAGTTAAAACTCTTCCTTCCCCGGTAATTACTGATCCATAATCAACATCGAGCGAGATCTGCGTCTGATGTCCGGTTGAGTGTGAGTATCTCATCCCTCTATGTGCCATGCATAAAACCGCTCACCGTATCTCCCGAGGTTTTAGAACTCATTATTGGCCTCGGGGCGCGTCGCTTTACCATACCCGATGGTTGGCACATCGTTCACTCTTCCTGGATCTCGATATGAAGGGTCCTGTGCATCGGTGTTCTCCCTCCGTTTTCTTATCGAAAAATCGGGGTAGGCATCACCCACAATTTTACCCGTACATTGTATTTGAGCTTTTGGGTATGTTTACGCCTCAGATGAGATAGGCGTTATTTTCAGATGATTCAGAATATGACATCATCGACCTTGATTGTTATTGTCGGCTTGCTGGTAGGCTTCGTCGACCTAAGTTGAGAGCTACCCCTTCAGAATTTATAGTTACAAAGTAATACGCTCGAGCTGAGTATGACATCGGATGGCAGCCACACCTCCACAGATGTGGGGCCTAACAGTTTACTTTAATCTTTTAAAAGGGTTGTTAATGTTGCTGATTTGATTCTGCTTCCACCGACCCCAACTATAATTTCTTCTATCTAATCAAGAAGTTTGTAATTTACTAAACAGTATACTCCACTGTATACCAAAACAGTTGAAAAGTGACTAAAGATACTACCAGCAACAACGAGTGGTATTATAATTTCACTCTTTGTCCATTTCCTTGTAAAAACATTAAATATAGTTGGTATGATACGAAGGTCCTACCAATTCCGTCTCTATGTTTATCATCGGAGAAAGAAATATCAAGGGAAACCGAAGTGTATCTAAAACTACAAAAAAAAAAAAGATCAAAATGTGGTGATTAATACTTCCTCTCTTCCCTTTTATTGATCTAGCATATGATGTACACTTATCATTAACTAACCATTTCTCAAAGTAATTGATGTACTAGTGGTCAAGTTAATGTTTCGAAGTATTTAAAGTTAATGAATAAAATAAATACTTAATTATAGTAGTAGTAATTTTTAAGGGAATGCAAAATACAAACTGAATAAGTAAATGGAATGAAAGGAGTATCTTATTAATCCAATGACCAAGTTAGCATTTACTTCGAATTAGAACCTGACATGAAGTGGACTTTTCCCCTATTTATTTATTAATCTAAAAAAGAAAGCCCTACTTTGCTGTTTGTCATTCCTGGGGCTGCTATCTTTATTAGTCTCTCACAGTCCAAAGGGCATCCCATTGCCAGTTCCAAACCCTTGTGTTTAGCATTACTAATATTTATAACCTTTTAACACAAGTATTTTGTCTTTGTCCAGCTACTTGTACTTTTTATATTATATTAATTCTGAGCATTTAAATTTATTAAGCAACCCCAGATATAATTTTTTGTATCAGTTTAAAGTTTCAATAAGTATTTGAATATTTTATTATTAATGTAATACCCAAACAAATCAGTAAAAATTGACGGGTCGCTCTATTTGGTCGCCCACATTTAACCTATACCCACTTTTTAAACAACTTCACGTCTCTTTCTCCTCCTCTCCTCCTCCTTCGTTTTCTTCTTCTCCTTCTTCTTCTTCTTCTTCTTCTTCTTCTTCTTTGGGTGACAATGACTTTATATGGTGGTTGTGAACATATTTTAATGTAGTTTATGATATTTTACAATGGTGAGCTGTTATGACGCTTTATTTTTTACTATTATTTAGAATTTCTTCTTCTTATTTTTCTTAATTGCAAAATGAGTTCATTACATTTATTGTTGTTTTAACAAATTGATGATTGAGGTTTGTTCCTGATAATATTTTGAGGTTATGTTTCAAATTTAAGTTCATATGGAGTAGATTTAGATATTAAATCGTATGTTGGATTGTTATAATTCGAAGAACAAATTTCTGTTTGTGAGCAATTTTCATTTCAGACTTATTGGCCTTAAGTGAAATGAAAGTGTTTGTTGCACTTCAAACCTTTTGGCCTTAAGTGCATGTGAAGTGCAATTTTTCACTTCAGACTTATTGGCCTTAAGTGTAGCAAAACGTTTGTTGCACTTCAGACCTTTTGGCCTTAAGTATATCTGAAATGCAATTTTTCACTTCAGACTTATTGGCCTTAAGTGTAGCAAAACATTTGTTGCACTTCAGACCTTTTGGCCTAAGTGCATCTGAAGTGCAATTTTCACTTCAGACTTATTGGCCTTAAGTGCATGAAACTATTGGTTACACTTCAGATCTATTTGACCTTAAGTGCATCTGAAGCGCAAATTTTCACTTATTGGCCTTAAGTGAACGAAAACGTTTGTTGCACTCAAACTTTTTGGCCTTAAGTGCATCTGATTTACAAGCTTTCACTTCAATTTTATTGGCCTCAAGTACATCTAAAATGCAATTTTTCACTTAAGACTTATTAACCTCAAGTGCATGAAACCATTGGTTGCACTTCAGACCTATTTGGCTTAAGTTCATTTGAAATGCACTTCAGGCATTTTTTTTCAACTTCAGACCCGATAAGTCTGAAGTTGACCGTAAAGTGGGTACACTTACAAATTTTTTTGCAAAGTGAATATAGGTTCAATTGTGACCCAAAACCGGATATAGATGCAAAAGCCCCAACCAAAAAAAGGTGTTAGTTTAGTCCCTCCATGACAACATCGCAGTTGATTTTCATCTTCAAACCTGGATATATTTCAAGAGTCAAGTTGACAGGTTTTCATAGGAAATCGGTCAGATTAATTCGCTTTGTCTTTTGGAAACAGAACTATTTTGGGAGTGAATTTTTCTGAACCATTTCATATAGATGCATCCAAAATCTACAAGTTTAAAAGGAGACAGAACAAAAGGTTTTCCCGAGTAGGACTATTTGTGGTCCAGTAGTCAAATGTGCTATTCAAGCTTTAGAATTATTACCCATCTTCAAGTGGTGGAGTAGCCAAATGGGCTCTCTCATTCTGAATAAAAGTGAACTCTACAACTACAAACTGGCATATAAACATCCCAAACTACAAAATCAAGTAATGATCGATGGCTGCAGCAGTGATTGCACAACAATGTCGCTCGACAAAATTACAAAACTGATGCTTTGATCCTTATCGCGTAGAAAAAGAATACTGAGTAAAGATGCTTTGAGTTCCAACCCTTGTGATCAACTTCTAAAAACTAAATCTCCAAACCCACCCTCCCTATTCTCCCACTGTAAGCCCGAAACCAAACTTGTAGTCTTTCTTTTTATGGTCAACCTGTGACAATTAACCACGCGTTTAGAATATAAAGTAGAATGGTACAGACAGACTGCATTAGATCACTTCCAAAAGCAATAAGGAAAGGTGAAACTTGAAAGCAAAAGCAAAAGCATTAACGTATCAAAATCAAAATAGTCTGCTATTTGTTATCATTGAGATAGAAAGAGACTCGACTCAACTCAACCCAGCACAAGAGACTAAGGGGGGTCGGGTGTGCAGAAGGTTGGGGGTCAGGGTGTGCAGAAGGTTTGGGGGAGAACACTATACAATGGGATAAATCCACAGCACCTACCTCAGCTGAAAGAATGAAATTAAGACCCATGTTCAAGCGCTCTTCCAGGAAAGCAGCAACGCAGCCATTTGAATCAATTTTACCTCTAAGACGACACTGCAAGGCATACAATATTGTTATTTTGATAAATGTGAAACTCCTGATGAGCAATGATAAGTGATCATGAAACTCCTAAAAGAGAATCTAAAAATACCCCCCACCCCCAAAAAAAAAATTAGCAGCCAGTAATACTTGTCAATAGACGGAAAACATATCAAAGTCAATCGTCTTTACTATTTTTTTTTAATAAAGTGAGGAAAATTCAAAATCTTTACTTAAAATGGATGAGAACAAAAATATTGTCCTAACACAAAGACATCAAACCTAAATGCAAGAAATGGTCTGTAGGAGTCTGCACAAATTGCCTCAATCAAACTTGCAAACTGCAGCTCTTATTCAAGTTTAAAAAAATACAAACTTATGAAGTGCAAGATCTTCAAGATAACAAAAGGAATGCTGCCTGAAATGCACTGGTTGGTGTAAGAAAACACTGGCGTGACTGACACCAGTCAACATTATCTGAAAAGTATGTCCAAAGAATTACCTGCCGGAGGATGTAATCATAACCAAAACTTGCCGTCACATCTCTGGACATGTAGTTGTACATAAAGTCTGATGCAAGAGAGACCTGATTGGAAGAAAAGACATTAAGCAAAACTCAGTTACCATCTATGTTACTTGGATCCTCCATAAATGCCGCTGCACCCGTGCCGGGTACTCCAAAATGAATAACTTTTGAAGGATCCGACACACACTCAACAGCATTTTTGAAGGATCCGAGTAATATAGGTTACCATCATCTCAAGAAGAGGGTGACTTAATGGTGACTGTTCAAAACCTTTTCAGAAACTTTCTGAACATAGCTTAGTGCGACCATACCAGTGCTAGCAACTTGCCCAGTGGCAACCTGAAGACAAACCAACAGATGGATTATAAGAAAAAATGAATTTACCTGAGCAAGTACAAACATACAAATTACAGATTTATGTCATGTTGGCAATAATCAGCAAAAGAAAGCACAATGGAAGAGTTCTCTTTTCGCTGCAGATGGTGTCAACTCTTAAAGATGCTAAAAGTTGGACTTTCAGTTTGATATATTCCACAGCTGTTCTTACTACAGAGAATAGAATTGTGGCCACAACATTTCCTATCTGACTTAAAGTATTTTTATAGAAGCGTTATATGGAGTTTAACGGTCTTTTGATACAAAGAAAGGATAAAACTAACCCTCATCCTTATCTGTTTTAAGATAAACAGTAATAACACGAGAGAAAGAATCACAAAATTAAGAATTCTGAAAGTTTTATCAAAAAAGACTTATTTCTAATGGTATAGATTGAAGTGTCTTTTTTTTTTTTTTTGGGTGGGGGGTGGGAGGTTTGGGTTTGAGTGGGAGGCAGAGTGTCTTAATCTTGTATGCATGACCAACTAGTAAGCAGACACAGGAAAGACAAATGGGAGAAAAAACAATATGTAAGAAGAACCCTCAAAGAAAACATTGAATTAAACCATGGAATTACTTAAAACTAGCAAAGGAATAAATTGATAATGCTAGTGAATAATTAGAAAAAGTAATGGAAACAGGACAAATACCCAAAAGAAAAGATGAAGGTTTAAAGCTGCAACAAGAGGAACGAAACTAGATTGAACTTCATGCAATGAGCTATCAACTGAATCTATGCATTTCTAACCAAAACAGAACTCTTATATGAATATAACACTAGGAGTAATATAAAGGAAAGAACTGGAAACAGAATAGCACAAACAGGAAGAACTGGATTCATTATTCCTCTAAAATATCATCTAACTGCAGTAAAGTCATAGAAATTTCTACTTCTTATCAGAATGCCATCTACATTCTTGTGCTTCTTTTTGCCAAATCTTCCAATTCATATATCCTTTGAAGAAGCTATCAACCGAATTGAATATCAAATATATTCTAAATTTCATTTGCTATCAAAAGCCTCACACCTGGATGTCCACAAACTGTCAGGTCCTCTAACTTAAATGGACAAAAAAACCCAGAACAAAGAAAAGTAGCTATATGTAGCGCTGCACTTGGTATACTTCTTGTATACGGGAGTTCTCTCCCTTTTGATTAATACAATTAACCTTATAAAAAAAAATGTAGCGCTGCACTTGAAAAATGAAAGTTTTTGGTCGATATTATGGGCCAGGATGTAGCAACAACTAATTCACTACAAAAAACGTATTAAACAGAGATCTTCAACTGTTAAGCAACATTCCAGTAATCAAACCATGATTTTAAGATAAAATGCCGTAAGCATGAAGAAACACGTTCTTTTCTTCTGGAAGAGAAGTGTGGTAAGAAAATGAAGAGGCAGGTCAATCAACTCAAGTTGCTATTGCATTTCAAAATAGAAGAAATTATGTTATCCTCAATTAAATTTAGCTGCTAACATGTATTACCAATACCATGAATTCTAATAAATATAATAAGACCATTAAAAAACATACAGATAACAAAAAGGGAAAAAGAAAACAAACCCAAAGCAGCAAAAAAAATGATTCGCGGCAATGATAAAGATTGAACACTATGCATTCATGTATCCTAACAAGTAAATACCATCTTATCAGTATTATAGCGAGCAGCATAACCAATGCCAGATTTCCGGTGCTGGCCAGCCCAGAATACTTCCCCACCCAGAGACAAATGTGGAGTGACACTCTGCAAAGATATATCAAGGCTTAGTTACCAAATGTATTTCCAACAAGCATAGATTTTGATCTACATAAGCATGAGAGGAACACAATGAAGATGATATGTGCCCAAGGATGACCAAAAGGCATCACAAAGCACAACCAAAAAGCACAGAACGACATCCTACTTACATAAACATAAAGGTTTTTATTTTTTCAACCTCTACCAAGTTTAAGGGTGCAATATCAAATCCTTCCATCCGATTGGTGTGTAACGCTAAGTTCCCAAAAAATAACTGGCAAGAATAGAACCAAAATGTAGTCCACTAATACCTCAACTTGATTTCAGAAACACTTTATTAATCAAAGTAAAACCACATAATTTCGATAGAATTTCCATTTCTCACAAGAAAATCAGGCCATCTGTAAACATCGTTACTTCATTCTGGGCTTTCATTTTCTTCTTTAGATCAGGATAATTTCATTAATAATGCACTGAGACAATGCCAAAAGAATTTTCAAAATCCCTCCACGAATTAACCATGATCTTTCACCAAGTTAACCCAATTATCTATGCAAGACAGTACTAGTTTACTTTACACCTTAAAAGAAACAAGAACTAACTCTTTATACTTTATGCTTCCTAGGTTCCTTTTCTCTCCATGAAGATACTTCAATTCCTCTATTTCCCAATTGTCAGAGAAGACATGTCAGATTCATTTGTGCTACAACGCCTCAACTACAGTCAAATAATGCCAAGTAAACCAAGGCCCAAACTCTGAGGTGACTCTGCAATGCAGAAGTAATTGCAGAAGTAGATGATCAGCCTCTCTTTCATGTACTCTTCTTCGCACATCCTGCATTAACTTACTACAATTTGATTCTTTTTTTTAAGGTCGTCAACCTTCATGATGTAATTCTTCATTCTGCATCATGTAAATAAGGCAACCTTCTTCGGTCCTCTGAGTTCCATATCTTCTTCCAAAATGTACTCTTATCTCCCCCTCCTACAAAAGGTGCCTTATTCTCTTTCGTTTTCTTATTTGAAGAAATAATTGGAATTATACATCATGTACAAAAATGAGTAATAACCCCCGGTGTAGACTGGAACAATTCAGTTCAACATGTCCCTTTGAAACATTTTCCTCTCACCAATATACTAGACCTCGTGCTTCAAGACAATTAGTCAACCACCTACACCAAGTTACCTCCCCTTTAATGGTTAACCACCAAAGGGTAGCCTCTCCAAATATAAAACCTCCTAATTCTACGAAGTCACACCTATTCAAGTTCGTTGAGCAAATCATTGCAGCACCTCGACCCTCGTGACAACTGCACACCTGGAATTGCCAGCCTACCAACCACACACTTTTCAAGCAAACCCTAAACGCACTTTTATTTACCACCACCGACTCCCTAACTTAAGAACATGTACTTATGCTGGTGGAAATAGGCTTGCCATGTAGTTGCACAAGAATGGATCTTTAGATCGGCGAAGATATGCAGGTTTTCTTTAACTGGGAATTGGAACTCATAAAGTTGAGTCTTGAAAAGATACAACAGTTCAAATGGGCATAGTTTTTAACAAGAAAAATTTTAGTTGTGAAGGAGAGGTAACCACCTATCCTCAAATTACCTCCCCTTTTAAGTCTCACTGCCAATTGTGGCCTCTCCAACAAATAACACCCACAGCTGCTCAAGCTCGGTGAGCAATCACCAACCTCTTTACTACCTCCCACATAAAACCACCAGGCGCCAACCAACACTTTCCGAACAGATCCCAGAACTTTCTATTTACCAAACACGCACTGCCTAACTTAAGTACATGTGCTTCTGTTTGGTGAAAATTGGCATCATGTTGTGTTCCCTGGAGAGTGTACCCATATTTTGTTAAACTAGGATCGGGAAATCTTTATGAACTCAAAAGGTTGACAGCAAAGAAGATGTAGTAGATACAGTGGCATAGTTTTTAATAGGTAATATTGTGGTGGTAAAGGGAAGTGAAGGTAATAGGCAACGCCAATTTGACATTCTTACTACTTCAGAGATCATGGCTTGAGGAACACATTTTAGCTTTCTATATAAATGAGTGAAATATTTCAGTTTCCTTTTCCACTGGGAATCAATGTAGTGTTAATGAAGCCACATCAGTCCTTAGTTTTTCCTCCTATTAGCACCATGCCCACTTATGTCATCGGACTTCATTTTTTATGTTTTACTTTTTTTTATAAAGTTATGTCATATGACTTTATACAAGTTTTGATTGTTACTCTTGTTTCATTTTCCACTTCACTCTACATTTTAGTCCTAGCAATTTTATGTACCTTTTTCTTTCCATTACTGTAGCCTTGAGACACAACCCTAAGTTATTAAGCTGCTTAGCTTTATAGTCTTGAGCATGAAAATATACTAGGATAACCAAAATTGAATCGCTTCAAAACTCAAGATACTTCGTGCAAGTAGTGGAACATCTGAAGCCTTTAGACTGTTTCTTAAGATGAATGGACAAAGAGAAGGCCATTCAACTTTTGAAGCATTTCAGCCTTTCATGATTTAAACGCTAAATTTGTTTCAAGTTAATCTCTTTTGCCTTGTCAAGTGACGGATAACAAAGTTTAGATCTTTCACCTGGATGTAGCTGGCACCAAATAATGCACCATTCCCGAGTTGAAATTGGGACCTGTGATCTTTTCCCTGTATAAGAACAGAAGACAAGCACATACTACTTAGTAACACCACCTCTAGTGCGTTGTGTTCATGTTACCACTTGACCAAAAGAAGGCAGCAATCTATCATGCATCCCAACAGTAAGCATCAATTATGTTAGTATCGTACTAGTACATCCTTGAATGATTATACAGAAACAGAAAGACAATTACCTTGTAGTCGAAATTAACCATGCCATGCGACATGTGTGGCTCACCGGTCAACTGGTAAGAACAAAACTGATAGTTATTTTTCTTGACCTTGTGATAGAATCTACATCAACCACTCCATTGACATCACTAAAGAGCGCACGACTAAATTTGAACGCGAATATTTACCTGACCATTCGCCTTCAAGGTAAGATTCTCAGATAAATCACACTTCACTCTAGCATTAACCCTTCCGTCTGTCAATACTCTGCCGAAAAGCATCAGCTGTATCAAACAGTAATTGCTCCATGATTAGATCCTCATGATTCAAAGTTCAGACACTTGAAGAGGGACACTATTGAGTACACACCTTCGGATCTATAAAGTTAGCACCAAACTCATAGTGAGCTGTTGGAATTTTGATTGTCTCTGTAGACTGAGAAGGAAGTTCTGTGGGGCCCATAAGTACACTGACAAGTAGGGACCAAATTTAACTCATCATCAAGAAAACATACATCCCTCCAGGAAAGCAGAAAGCATACCAATAAGTGCGATGTGTGTTTTTTTAGAAAGACCAAATCTAACCTGTGACTGAGTGAAAATCTCTGATTAAGTCCTTTGGTGAAATCAAAGCGCAATCCTTCAAAAAGTTCTGGCTTTAAAGACACTGCCAACAAAAGACAAGTTTTAATTAATCCTCCCCTTTCAAAGCATATAACACATAAATGAAAGAACTGTAAGAGAAGCCCAACGATAAGACTTTATTAGGAAAAGAAGCACATCAATAAGCGGCAGAATTGATAGGTGGATCAACCTAAGCCTGAAATATAGATATAGAAGGGAAAGAGATGCTAAAACTGCCAATATACAGCCCCATTTAACTTGATAATGATATCAAAAAGCTGGTTAAGATTTTATTCCTGAAGCACTGATAAGTGCCAGATTTAGTAGCACTAAAAAACCTTTGGAAAGGCTACTCAAAGTTTTTTTCTATTTATGTTCTGATATGTTGTAGTTGTTGTTGTTGTAGGCGACATTGCAGTGATCATTAGTAAACATTATGTATAACCAAAATATTATTTAAATGGGTAGATTCGAATAAATTCAGATTTACATTCACCCAACAACTTCTGCAGCAGCTAGGCTTTAAAACTAAATGGACATTAAACCCTTCTCTAAAAGAGGCTTATGAAGCAGTTTTAGTCTTTCAACAAACATATGTTTCAATTGCATTTCACTCCATACAATACTTATATAGAGTAAAATCATGAGTAAAAAAAAAGTAAATAAGCACAATGATAAACATGAAGTGTAGAGTGAAACTAACTGAGAGCTTCGCGGTGAATTTCTTCATAGGGAATAGGGCAAGGCAAGTTCGAATAATCAACTTTCTCCGGTTCAACAGCCGCCGGTTTGGAACCAGCTGGAGGAACAGTGGTTGTAGGAGGAAAGAGAGTGGCCATTGCAGATTATTCTAAGGATTTGCGTCTGGATCCAACTGCGTAAGACTTGAATGAAAATAAATATAACAAATGAGAAGAAGAAGAAGAAGGAGGTGATTTCCTTCTTCTTGACTGCGGCTGCTACGTGGAGGGAAGAGAGCTCAGAGAGTGAAGAGTGTAAAACCCTTTCCTTCGCCCAACTACCAAGAAACCCCAAACTTCGGCTCGGATAAAACCCGGCCCGTTTTATTCCTGTGACGGTTCTATTAATTTCTTAGAACTAGTCTCTCTGAACTGCGTCACATGTTCATCTTATATCATTTTCATAAATTTTGTATTACAAAATATTAAATTTTTATCATATGCAGAGTTAAGAATTTCTATTTATTTATAAAGGTATTTGAGTACACCTTAATTGCAAATTAATATTTATTTTATAATTTTATCTATTATTTCAACTTCAACTTTAAGTAGAAAATTTTGAAGCTAAAGTTTTGTTTAATTATCTCATATGAAGTAATGTGTCACTCACAAAAGTTTAACTTCTTATTCACCTGAAATTTATGTCAAACAACATTTCAAACTTCTTTCCAACTTCAATTTTAACTTCAAATATTTATTTTTAAAACCTAAACCAAATATTATCTTAAAAAATAGAAATCATACAATTTTGCATAAAGAAATTAATTATTCAAAATTTATGTACCAAAGAAAGACTAAAAACTTTTGTTCAAGGACTAAAATATTATCCATTCAAAGTCAAAATTGCCGCACTCTCTCTTCAAGAGACCTTTAAAGTTATTTATTAAGGCAATAAATTTATCTTACCTCAAAATATAAATATAGATTAAATATTTTTTTCCGAAGCCGTAATGCCTCTTCCGAATTAAAATAGTAGTGATTAGTGGATAATATTACCAATATGTTACTGCAAAATAACATCCACGTTTTTACCACCACTTGCAATTATTGAAAAATATCTAAAAGTAAAATTCGTAAAGAATTTTAATTAGAATGTGAAGGAATATAGGCAGCTCTTTACCAAGGATAGTAATTTCCCTAGACTGCGGAAATGGTGTAACTGAAATTCAACACTCAGGATATAATGCCTACTAATAAAACTAAATTTCTATTCTTTGATAATTTCTTCTACCATAAGAACTCAAGGAAAAGAATTTAGAATTGAAATATAAGATTTAAGAAAGAAGAATAAAAATATTCTTCAACGTTAATGAAGAATCACATAATGTGTTTTAAGAAGAAGTATTTTTCTCATATCTTTTATTTACTTCAAATGAAAGCCTCTAAATAAAATTTAACCATTCAGCAATGGTTGAACAAATGTAAGTTAAATTCTTAAACAAAATACAATTATAACATATGTTGATTGTTAGTTCCGGATGTTAAAAATCGGTGGTACCCTTTAATTTATATATTAGTGTCCGCATGATATTAGTTGTGCCAATACTACAAATACTCATTTCTCTATAGAAGAGAGTTGTAAGTTACAGACAGTTTAATAGTAGAGCAAATGCATACCTATTCGCAAATGAAAGAAAGAGGATAAGCATACGAAAATCCACCTCATAATTAATTCAATTGTTCGTTATTAATTTTGGATTATTACCATGACGTGTGATTGATCAAAAATGTGAAGGAACACATTTGAAAAATCTATTTCTTAATATGAAGGAACACAACCCTTCGAATCAAGGCATCGAGTACTTTTTGTTTTTGTTTTGGATAAGTAGTTCTTTCCTCTTGAAAAAATAATTATTAATGAATAAACACAACTATTTAAAAAAGACGCAATATAAATTAATATCATTCATGCATTTTTTAAATTATATTTTTACTCAAAGGTTATTTTAGTAATTTAACCTTTTACTTTTGAGCTTCCCACTTTTAAAATAGTATAGATTAGGGGTGTTCCAAAAAAAAACGAACCAAATCGAAAACCAAACTAAACCGACCAAAAATCGATACTTTTTGGTTTGATTTGGTTTTGATTTTGAAATTTAAAAACCGATTAAATTTGGTTTGGTTTTGATTTCAATTAAAAAAAACAAAACCAAACCGAATATAGGAGTAGTTATCTTAAATTTATTATTACACTTATATATATGTATACCTTTATACAAAGTTTTAAACTTTCTATAGTAAATATTAATCGTTTGCACTTTTAGTACAGTTCTTTACCTTTACATTCTAGTTTAATTGGTAGTTTTCTTTTGTTAAGTGTAAGAATCTATTTCATGATAAAAATAATATATTTTTAATTGAATCCTTAAATTATTCATCACTATCTGATTCAATTATCATCAATATATCTTGGTAAATAATAGATTTCTCAAAGGGCAATTGATTTGATTGTGTTACGTTGAAAATGTGGTCGCCGAAATGTGTGTTTGGTAGTGTATGTCTTATATTTATGAAAAAAACCGACAAATAACCGACATAAATCGAATCGAGAAAAAACCGACTTAATTGGTTTGGTTTGGTTCTAATATTTGAAAAACCAACTTACTTGAATAAATTTATCTTACCTCAAAATATAAATATAGATCAAATATTTTTTCCCGAAGCCGTAATGCCTCTTCCAAATAAAAATAGTAGTGATCAGTGGATAATATTACCAATATGTTACTACAAAATAACATCCATGTTTTCACCACCACTTGCAATTATTGAAAAATATCTAAAAGTAAAATTCGTAAAGAATTTTAATTAGAATGTGAAGGAATATAGGCAGCTCTTTACCAAGGATAGTAATTTCCCTAGACTGCGGAAATGGTGTAACTGAAATTCAACATTCAGGATATAATGCCTACTAATAAAACTAAATTTCTATTCTTTGATAATTTCTTCTACCATAAGAACTCAAGGAAAAGAATTTAGAATTGAAATATAAGATTTAAGAAAGAAGAATAAAAATATCCTTCAACGTTAACGAAGAATCACATAATGTGTTTTAAGAAGAAGTATTTTTCTCATATCTTTTATTTACTTCAAATGAAAGCCTCTAAATAAAATTTAACCATTCAGCAATGGTTGAACAAATGTAAGTTAAATTCTTAAACAAAATACAATTATAACATATGTTGATTGTTAGTTCCGGATGTTAAAAATTGGTAGTACCCTTTAATTTACATATTAGTGTCCGCATGATATTAGTTGTGCCAATACTACAAATACTCATTTCTCTATAGAAGAGAGTTGTAAGTTACAGACAGATTAATAGTAGAGCAAATACATACCTATTCGCAAATGAAAGAAAGAGGATAAGCATACGAAAATCCACCTCATAATTGATTCAATTGTTCGTTATTAATTTTGGATTATTATCATGACGTGTGATTGATCAAAAATGTGAAGGAACACATTTGAAAAATCTATTTCTTAATATGAAGGAACACAACCCTTCGAATCAAGGCATCGAATACTTTTTGTTTTTGTTTTGGATAAGTAGTTCTTTCCTCTTGAAAAAATAATTATTAATGAATAAATACAACTATTTAGAAAAGACATAGTATAAATTAATATCATTCATGCATTTTTTAAATTATATTTTTACTCAAAGGTTATTTTAGTAATTTAACTTTTTACTTTTGAGCTTCCCACTTTTAAAATAGTATAGATTAGGGGTGTTCCAAAAAAAAACGAACCAAATCGAAAACCAAACTAAACCGACCAAAAAATCGATACTTTTTGGTTTGGTTTGGTTTTGATTTTGAAATTTAAAAACCGATTAAATTTGGTTTGGTTTTGATTTTAATTAAAAAAACAAAACCAAACCGAATATAGGAGTAGTTATCTTAAATTTATTATTACACTTATATATATGTATACCTTTATACAAAGTTTTAAAATTGTTATAGTAAATATTAATCGTTTGCACTTTTAGTACAGTTCTTTACCTTTACATTCTAGTTTAATTGGTAGTTTTCTTTTGTTAAGTGTAAGAATCTATTTCATGTTAAAATAATATATTTTTAATTGAATCCTTAAATTATTCATCACTATTTGATTCAATTATCATCAATATATCTTGATAAATATTAGATTTCTCAAAGGGAAATTGATTTGATTGTGTTACGTTGAAAATGGTCGCCGAAATGTGTGTTTGGTAGTGTATGTCTTATATTTAAGAAAAAACCGACTAATAACCGACATAAATCGAATCGAGAAAAAACCGACTTAATTGGTTTAGTTTGGTTCTAATATTTGAAAAACCAACTTACTTGGTTTGGTTTCTTTTTAGGGAAAAACAGATCCAAACCGAACCATGAACACCCCTACTTAGAAGTTACTCATAGGTGTTTTTTTGGGCCAAACTTCTTCGAAGCGAAAAGTATTCTTTTATTGGAATTTTTACTTTGTGTAGCAAAGTTTGATACCTTATTTATTTTAAATATATACCCTTTTAAAAAATTATATTCTATAGCTACATTTTGATTTTTATAGCCAAATACTATTTATGGTCACCTCCTACACATAAGCCATAAAATGTGCTTTGTATTATTTTTCTCTCTCATTCTTCAGATTTTTCTCCACCATCTCTCTCTAACGCCAGTCTTTCTCCATGAATACAACCATGATTCTCCACCCATTTATCTCCATTGTCGAATAAATTTTTCATTGTCAGTGCCCTGGGACTCTGAATCAATGTCGAAATTGGACCATATCTTCAATTTCCCGAACTATACTTTCAGGCTGCCCCTCCACGGCGACCTTTGTTTAACAAGATATGGACAAAGACCCATTAATGGGTGTGGCTAAACTGACAAAGTCGAGGTTCTAAGTATGATTCGGGCTCGTGGAATCATAAAATCTTTCCCTAGATGGTTCTTTATCCCCTTGTTGTCTTTACTTGCTCAGATTCGAATTATTCAAGCTAGTTAATTCCAAACATTGTATCATTAAACTCTATTGGTAAAATACGACCATAATACATGGCTAACGTAATGGATGACTCGTGGCGAGTATCTCCCAATGTGGTGTCTAGTCATCATTAACCCTTATAGCCAGTGGCGATTGAGGGTTTTTGCTCGACGGCAGATTTGCCGGAAATTAGGGTTTGTTCTTGAACAAAGACGAGGGGAGTTTGGGGATGAGCAACTTGATTTTACCGTTAATATATTTCAATGTATTTTCAACGTATCACACTGTATTTTCATGTATTTCATTGTCTTTTTACATTGTAATTCAATGTATCTCGCTGTATTCCATGT